CACGGTCCGACCGGTCTAGCCTGACCATCCGGTCCGGTTTTAAAAACATTGCTTAATACAACAATGTATCACACTTGCTTCTTAGGTTTTTTAATGGTAGTAAGAAAATGCTAACCTCCATCAATAACAAAATCCAAAGTTAGTAGTACAAAAATAAGAACCTACAAAATAAAATATAGATATAATTAGATAATTGCGTTAAACGATAAAAAGAGACTTATACATAAAAATTACTCCTCGTTCTCAAATTGAATTACATGTTAATTATGTAACTAATCAAACTTTATTGACTTAGCTGACTTAATTGGGAGGTTAGGGGTTCGAACCTCTTTACATGATTTTAAAATTTTAGAATTCTGAACAATTTGATAACCCAAACCCGTTAATCGGTTGGGCCGACCCGAGTCACCCGATTTGCTGGATCGAACGGGTTTAGACGGGTCAATGGGAAAACGAGTTTCTACTTTGAAATGGACCGGATTCGTGTCCGGATCGTGGTCCGACCGGTATGGCCGGACGATCCGATTTTAAAAACATTTTTGCTTCATACAATGTATCACACTTGCTTCTTAGCTTTTTTAATGGAAGTATAGTAAGAAAATGCTAACCTCCATCAATACCAAAACCCAAAAGTTAGTAGTACAAAAATAAGAACCTGCAAAATAAAAAATAGATATAATTAGACAATTGTATTAAACGATAAAAAGAGTCTTCTCCATAAAAATTACTCCTCTTTCTCAAATTAAATTGCATGTTTATTATGTAATTAATCAAACTTTCTTGACTTAGCTTTCTTTCTATTTTTGTTACTTATTTGTTTAAATAATAGAATTATGTCTTCTATTATTTTGTAAAATTTGAATTTTGATATACGGAACAATTTTAAATATGTAATTTTTTAATTCTACCCTAATCTCATATAAATAGAAATGAAAATAATTAAAGCCAAATATCGTAAAGAGAAATATCCAATTTAAACGGAGAGGGAGGGAGCATCATTTACTTCTGTCCTTTGGTTACACATGAGTGGATATTTTGTCCTACCTCACTACAATTATTTTCTCCTCTCAAAATGGATGTTCATGACACCACCCTAGTTTTTCAATGACTTTTATTAGTACGTTTATATTTATTGATCATTTGATATAAAAAATTATAAAACTACACACACACACACATATATATAAATAGCGTAATTTATACTTTTCATTTTTATACTGAGTTTAATTGAAATAATTTAAAAAGTGATGCAATTTTATTTCTCTCAAGAATTTCAAATTCCAAGCTCTCTCGTCTAGTACATAGAGCTACCATCTCTTCTTCTTTTTTAGTGTCAAAGACATCATCTACAAGGATCAATATCTGCTCTTGAACCATTTAAAATAAGAAAAATGCTAGGTGTACACAAAAAAGTATACTCCAAATGTACACCACTTCATCTCCACCACACAATCTCAAGTAGACCTGTCAAAACAGAATCGGAACCGATTACCCGAACCAAATTATCCGAAATCGAAATAATCCAAAAAATAAAGATCTGATCTATAACCGAAAACCCAAATGATCCGAATCAAACCGAAACCGAACTAAATAATTCATATCCGATTTAAATCTGAAACCGATTAGATCCGAAATCGATAATATCCGAACCGATTAAACCCGAAACCGATTAGATCCGAAACCGATAAAACCCGAAACCAATTAGATCCGAAACCAATAATATCCCCGAACCCGATTAGAACTAAAACCGATAAATTCAGAACTGTGTTTGTCTTTCAATAAGCATATTATATTTTTAAATTTTTACTTTTATTTTACCATTTGAACTAATTACATTACTTGCTCATTCCCTCATAAAATGGATTATTGATTTAAAAAAATTAAGTCTTTGATTAGATGTTATATAAAAAACATTATACTAATTTTAGTCTTAAGTTACAAAATCTAATTAAAACAATCTTATTTTGAAGAAAAACTCCCTCCATCTTAGAAAGAATGCTACATAAAGCAAAACAAAACAAAAATTTTAAGCTTTTAAAATTTACTTTATTTAAAGATTGGTATAGAAATAAAAAAATGTCTACATATTTAAAAAAATACGTAAAAAATTTTACAAAATCCGATGTTACAAGAATAATATTTTATTTTATCAAATAATAAATGATAACGCACAAACAAATAAAATTTCCATAATTTTTAAATAGTGAAGTGTGATATTCTTTTTGAGACGAAAGGATTATATGATTAATTGTATGGAATAACTAGGTTTTATCCTAATTTCATCCAATTACAATAAATTTTATTAGTTTGGAAGTTAATTTGATTAGTTTCAAACTAATTCACTCAATATTAGTCAATAGCATTATATGTTAGTATTATCATTTTAAAAATACTCTCTAGCAATAGCATTTAGTGTTATCATTTTCAAATTTGATCTACACCATTACATTTAGGTGTAAAATTAATTATATTTGACTATATTAAATTTAATTTTATCTAATTTCAACCAAATACACTCAAATAATTTATAAATTTTGCACTCAATTGAATAAAATTCTCTTAATTTCACCCAATTTCATTCAATTTCTACCAAATTGTATTCAGTTGGGTCGTAACACTATTTGAATTTATCTTTTATCTTTTCATATACAAACATAAATATATTAGTAGATGTGAGAAAAATTTGATATATCAAAACTAAATTTTAAAATCAATTTAATTATTTTAAATTTATATCATAAATAAATATATTTTTTTTCATAATTTGTAGTCCAAATTTATAAAATATGACTAAAAAGTCAAAAAAGGAAGATTATTTAAGGTAGAGATAATATAATTAGAAAAAATATAAAATAAGAGTATGAGGTATTGAATTAATGATAGATTGATAAATGTGATAAAACATAAAAAAAATATGGATAATTAAATTTTAATTAGAAAATAATATATATCCAAAATATATTTTATCCGAAACCGAAATATATCCGAACCGAACTAGATCCGAAACCGAAATATATCCGATTCAAATTGTATCCGAATTGAAATCTATTTGAATCGATTTATAATTGAACCATATCTAAACCGACTTGAAACCGAACCGAAAAAGTATAGAACCGAATCAAATCCGAAAAATATTCGAACCTAAAAAATCCAACCTGAAACCGATTCGGTTAATCTGATTGCCACCTCTAATCTCAAGTGTGGAAAAAGAAACTTAAAAATGAATAAAAAATGAGTACCTTTTTGTTAAAAAAATGAGTCGAGGTTGTAAGGCCTTGTGTATGGATTCCTCTCTTGTGCCAACTCAGTGGCACGTCAGTTTTTTGGGAGAACTCTCTAGATAAAAATAAAAAATTATAAAAAAAAATAGGAGTCATAGGTTTTCTAAAACCAAGATAGGAGTTCACACTGTCATTGTTACACGGCCACACTCACCACATTGCCACATTGTAACTGTCGCATTATCACCGTCACATTACCATCTGTCGCGGCTGATCACATTAACATATTACACTGTCAGCACTTTTTCATCATACTGCCAAAGCGTACTCCTATACCACACTCCCATTATAAATCTATTTTGGTCTTAAAAGACTTATTACTCATATTTTGATATTTTTATACTTTTAAGTCATTACGAGTGTAATTTTCCATCCTCCCCTTTCCCTTTCCTTTTTTAATACTCCATATTAGTTTTTAACACTTAATTCTTACAGAGTATTTAATTACATAAACTAAAAAGTTAAATAAATATTTCATTAAAATTAAATTTAAAAGTAGGTAATAAAATAATTTAAAGCACATAATTAAATTTAAATTTCATTGAATTTGTTATTTTAAATTTATTTAAACGAGTAAATCCTAATCATTTACATACGGAGTACATAATTGTTCTTGCAAACACAAAATAAGTATTGTGCCACACCAAATAATACTCTAATTCCAAATACCACCCAACAATTATTACTTTTTGCTTTTATCTTTTCGTTCTCAATTTTAAAAATAGAAATTACCATAAATAGGACTAAAACATAGAGAAAAGTACCAAAATAGGACTTTCATGTTTTTTTTGGAATAGGACTTCACACTGTGGTAATGTGGTTGTAATGTGGCACTGTACATGTACACATTAGTCATTACTATACTTTTTGGTAATGTACATAACCATGTTTGGTAATGTAAATGCATTTTAAGTCCTATTTTAGAAAAGTCTTATTTTGGTATATTTTCAATGTTTTAATCCTAAATTGGTCTTTCTCCCTTTTAAAAATTTTGATAACAATTTGTGAATAAAGTATATTTTTTGAATGATAAATAAAGTATATTAAATTATCATATAAATTTAATATAATTTTTTAAATTTAAAATTTAGTTTTTATATTTCAATTTTTTATAATATTTATTTATACAAATTATTATTTTTAATTATAGAATGATTGCCCATATATAATAAAAGTTAAATAGCAATCCGTATAAAAAATATTTTTCGAACACAAAAAGCATATATACAACTTTTTGATATACAAATAATAATGTCGAATTACTTTAATTCGGAGGAGGGGGTGTACCCAATCCCACCTATATTATGTGTGCCCGAGAGAAAATATGTTGGTGAATAAATAAAATAAAATGGAATATCGTAAAATTAGTAAACCACTTGTTTATTTCATGTACAAATAGTTCACTCGAATTAGTTGTGACTTGTGGGTTGTGAGGATTAAGTAGTCTAGTCTACCCAGTCCCTTAAGAATAGGATCGAACGAATTGAATCTTAGCAACCTAACATCATCAACAAATGGTTTCATACACAATCAATGAAGCAATTCAAAGTTTGATTTTATATTGTTCCATTCCAAATTCCAATGAAATGTAATGGGGAGGAACGGCGCGGTGCCAAATCTGCAGCGCAGAAATAGCAGTAGCAATAATAATAATAATAATAATAATAAACAGAGATGGGTTGTTATCCCCGGCAGAATCTGCCTGGTTTTCTCCAGCGTCTTGCCTAAGTCAAATAGGCAAGGCGCCGCGGGTCGCCCGGACGCCGCCGCGGGTCGTTCGGACAATCGCGTTTTCGGAATGCGAACCACAGAGGCGTCGAGGGAGCTCCCGCCGCTGGATAACGGCGGGGGCGGGGACGACGGCTCGATAGGGCGAGGGCGAGGGCGGCGCGCCTTAAAGATGGGGCGGATCAAGCGCAGCTGGGACAGGAGGAGGAACAAGCAGAAGGCGAAACAGGGGGAGAGTCCGGAGAGAGCAACGCGGCGGCCGTGGGGGAGGAGGAGGGGGAAGAAGACGACGGTAGCGATAAGCTCCGTCGACAAAGAGACTAGAGCCATGGGGGAACAAGGAGGAGGAGGATCAGAGCTGTGTAAGAAGAGGATACTGATGGGACACAAGTGCATGGCGCTCAACTCCTCCGGGAACCTTCATTACGGCCCTGATGGCATTTTGCTGCCGGAGTTTCTCCCCTATGACGACTAGCTTAGCTATGTCCAAATTATTATTGCATGCCATGATCGAAAATAGTCATAGCGCTGTCATAGATGTTCGTGGTTTATGATCGTTTTTTATAGATAACATATAACTCCCCCAACAAAGTGAATTGAATCAATTGATCGGTGGAAGCTATTAAACCAATCATCCATGCTGTTTTTATTGATACGATACTCCCCTAGAATGATAAAAAAAAATGTCACATTGTCACTCAACTAATTTTTTGTGAGTATTCTTTTTATAGAAAAGTTGGTCCGTCTACTCACTCCTGAACTCTTTCAAAATTATGTAGATTACCCTCAACATTAAAAATACATTATTTACTCTTGAACTGTTTGAAAATTGCACGACTTACACATAACATTCAAAAGTGCACCAATTACAACTGAACAATTTAAAACGTTGCACCGTTAGTCATAAATACTAGATGGGGAGTGTGTTGATCCCACGCATGGAAATTGCAAGTATGATTCATCTGGCCCTTGTGATTTTTCTAAAGTACCTTCCCAAAATTTTGTCTTTCTTTAATGTTCAGGGGTAAACCGTGTAATTTCCAAAGAGTTCAGAGGTATTTGGTTTACTTTTTAATGTTTAGGAGTAAACCGTACAATTTCTAAAAAATTTGGGGGTATTTGGTACACTTTTTATTGTTCTGGGGTAAAGCATTCAATTTTCAAAGAATTCAGGAGAAAACGACACACTTTTCTACTTTTTTAAAGGCATTATTTTTGTTACTTAGTATATAAAAAAGAAATATTTGCACTAAATAACACTAAAACTTAAGTCATTTCCCTAAATAGCACTTAAACTGTTTTATTCTCTAAATAGCACTTATAATGTCCATAATGTCCAGTGATGACGAAATTTTGCTTGAATAATGACTAATGCATAATGACTAAAAGTGCTACATTAGAAAGAAAAACATATGTAGTGCTATTTAGAGAAAGTCATTATGTTTTAGTGCTATTTAGGTAAATTCCTCTATAAAAAATGTGTTTGTGGGAGCCTGTTACATAGTTGCACCAAATTTCTCCACAAATCGGAGTCTCACCCCTACATTTAAGATGATTAGATTATAAGACTGAACAGATACTACAGTGATGAGCGGCCGTTTATTTTTTTCTTTATTCTCAGAAAACCTAGAAGCCTGGCCTTTAAAAAAATGGAAACTTATTATATAAATTACTTTGATATTTTTATGGGAAAGACCATATCATCAATTAATATTATTACCTTTATTAGTACTATTCTCGTAATTACTATTATTAGTATTATTGATATTATTACCTTTATTAGTATTATTAATATTATTAGCAAGTAATATTATTACCTTTATTAGTATTATTTATATTATTACCATTATTAGTGTTAAAGTAATGCTAGAATCACAAATAAACAGTTCAAAAAATTCACAAACTTGTCTTTTTAACATTTTTCTAGAATTAAAATGCACTCAATTAATAAAAGATATTTTAATTTTTAATCTACAAAAGGCAAGTTTGTGAATTATTTGTTTCTGACTCTACCATTTTCCTTAGTGTTATTCTCCTTACTATTATTACCGTGTATATTATTATCATTACCATATAAACATTATCAAATTACCTATTAATAATAAGTATAGATATTATTAAATTACCTTGTTAGTTTATTCTACACGGTACTTACCTGTTTTATTCTACACGGTAATATGATGGTATCGTGGGTTGACATGTTAGTATTATTTACACACATATATATTAGCAATTACTATTATTACCTTTATTAGTATTATTTTTGTTATTATTTTTTTTTTTTTTTTATTATTACCATATACACATTATTCTTACTATTTTCGGTCATTTAGTTTTTTCTTTATTCTTGGAAAAGCCTAGGTAGAATTTAAAAAATAGAAACTTATTATAATAAATTACTTTGACATTTTTATGGGCAAGATGATATTAGCAACTAATATTATTACATTATTGGTATCATTAGTATTATTTCGTTATTACCTTTTATTAGTATTATTAATATTATTCTGCTTATTATTACCGTTATTAGTATTTTTCTCCTTATTACTATTAATTATTACCATATACAGAGTATTATTATTATTATCATCATCATTATTATTATTATTATTATTATTATTATTATTACAATGTAGACATTATTAAATTACCTTATTAATAATAAGTATAGACATTATTAAATTATTGCGAGAATTCTTGTTGTGAGGTTGAAGAAGATTACTCTTCTTGTTGTACAAAATTTATGTGACTTAAGTATTGGTTGTGAAATCTTGTATAGGGCATATTGACGAACGATTTTGTTAAGACTTATGTTGTAACGCTCCAAAACATGGCCTAAAAGTTATTTTATGATAAAAGTATTTTCAAAATAATATTTTGACCCAGAAAGTATTATTCCTATTTTTGAAGAACACGCTCTTGAAAACAAATAGTTTTTTCTCAAAATATATGAATTGGAGGAAGGATTAAATGGAGGATTATAACCTCAAGAATGTGGTGTTTAAGGAGTGTTTCTTGTTAGTAAAAATGACCAAGGAAGGGTGTTTAAATAGGAGTTGAAGGAATATATCCGTTGGTCCAAAAAAAGAAATTGTGCAGAAAAGATGCAGCAAATAACCGAGTAATTTAGTGCAATTAATCGATTAATTTAGTCTGAGCAAAATTCCTTCTTGATAAAAAATTTTAATCGATTATTGAACAAGGGATTAATCGATTATTGAGCCCTTGGAGCTGTTCTTATGCGCAAAGAAGATGATAGTTGATTATTTCAAAACGGATAATCGATTTTTACGACAAATAATGTACAAACAGGAAGAACACACACATACGTGTGCGGATGAAAGGATTTTTTTTCCAAATCCTCTTGTTCCCAACATAGCCACGGGATGAAGGAGGCTCCGAATCACCTCAAACCATTATTCAAAATAATTTTAAATAATTAAATGAAATTTGGGGTGTAGAATTTGAGTCCCAAAAATATTGTGTGTCAAACGATGTCTAAAAATATTTGGATACAATATATTTGCTTTCCAAAAATATTTTTTCAATATCAAAATAAGTATTTTGAAAAATGTTTAACACACCTCTTGTAACTGACTCAATAAAAAGCATTTTGAACAGTTAAAAAAAATATTTCAACTGGCTCCAAAAATAAATATTATTTTTATATAACTCTCATATAAATAATTTTGGAGTGAAGAATATTTTTTCCATCCTTAGAATATTTCCTAAGACTCAAATAAATTAAAACTCTTCGGAAATCTTCTTCTACACTTCTGTAAGGCGCTCCGTTCGGTATCTTGGTCTTCAATAAATTATGTGCTCCTTGAAAGCTTCAAGAGACTTGGCACTTCAAATCTTTGTGTTTGTCAATGTAGCACTTTATTCTTGACTTGAATAACTTATGTTTGTCAATTATGAAAACATGTGAGTCAACACTTAACAGTACAAAAAGGGTTGCACTCATGCATTCCAACATAAAGTACCACGTATGCAATTATTGTTTATTGAGGACTGATTTTGAAGAATACTAATATGCACATATTTTATATACTTTTTATGCATATTTTGAAGTAGCTTTGAGTCCCATTTGAATTTATGATTCACATTTCAATTTAATTTCCTGTTTTATTTTTGTAGTACGGTCATATGCTTGGTTTTATATGTTTTGCAAGTATTTTGAGGTTATTTGTACACAATTAGGGTAATTGCAAGAACGGAAAATAAATATGGAAGTTTGGGACCAAAATAAATTTAAGAGATTTAAAGAAAAGAAGGATATAAATGAAAAATAAGTAAAAAAAAAACAAAACAAGGATTCATCAAACTCTAGACCTAGAAGGATGCAAATGGCGGGAAGATTTGAACACAGCTTCCAGCAACAAGACAATCAGCTATATGGCCATTTGAGCTATAGAACGCGTGTTGAGACTTTGTGCAACTGTTCGTATATACTCCGTTTATAGGAATTTGTAAATAAAAATAGCTCCCTTCTATTCTTCTAAAAGGTTGGAACTCCCCACTTCTCCCATCTCTCCATTTCCGAAATTCTCTTCCTCTCTCACTACTATCTCACCAATTTCTTTCTCCAAACACATAAAGATCACTCCATCTTCATCATCATCATCAACACCATCTATTGTATTTGGAGGTCAAGAACACATCTTCCATTTTTGTAAATTTTTATGATTGTAATAAATATTTATTTGTTTAAGATTCAAACTATGAACTTCTAAATTCCATTGGGATTAGAAGTTTGTGTAACTAATTACTGTTGGAACACACTTTGTACGATAAACTAAAGTCGTGTTCATTTCTGACAGGTTTTGATAATTGCCAAACCGCCGTGGATATGAAGAGTTTCGTTGAATAACTCAAAGCGTGAAGAATGGCTTGGAACAAGACAAAAAAGACTCAAGGATAAGATCAAGAATTGAAGACCTAGTCGAGTCGGTCTTTTGTGATCAAAACCGACAATAAATTCAAGTCTCGGTTCTCAAAGAGTCAAAACAATTTTTACAAATCATAAAATATTTTTTTGAATAAAAATAAATATTTTTGATGATTTTTTTATTGTTAAAATCTCTGGTCCTTGCTCGGAACCTAAACCACCTAATTCGGCGTTTGGCGTTCGGCATTCGGTGTTCGGTTTTTGGCGCCCGAACCAACTCCGTGGTTTTCAATATTTTAAACCATGTTTTTACCTCTGAGCATTTTTAAAATTTTCCCAAATAATTATTTTATAAAAACCACTTTTGTATCTTGGTCAATCGGTCTAACACGTGAAGAACGGTCAAAACCGTACGCCCGTGATGTACGACCTTGGAGACTTGGTTTTTACCGAACAAGTCTTGTTTTCACTATTTTATACCATATACAATGTTTTTCTAACCTGGTTTTCACTTTTGGGAACACTTCGTTTTTTGGACCTCGGTTTTTCAAAACGGGTTTCAGCTGGCTAGACTTTAGCTAGGTGATAATCGATTATCACTTTGGTGAAAATCGATTATCTGCCTCTGCCGCTTTGAACTCCAAAGTTCTGAAGCAAGCAATAGTCGATTATCACATTTACAATAATCGATTATCAGTCTGTGCAGCCAAAACCCAGAATCTTCTCAGAGGACCAATAGTCGATTATCACTTGTTGACAATCGATTATCTGGGTTACCGTTGTCCTCCAACGGATAGAATTTTAAATTTTTGGACAGGGAATCTTTGGATAATCGATTATCAAGCTTTGACAATCGACTATCACCCTGTGTCTCTGAAAAATTTGTCTTCATCCTGTTGGAAATGTTAGCAACGGGTTTATCCCATTTTGAGCTATAAATGGCACCCAATTCCTCTCATTTTACACACAATTCTTCAACATTTCAATACTCTTTCATTGCATAAGCATTCCTATCTTTTCTTAGCTATTTGAGAGCCAATTCTTGAAGAAATTGTCGTGTTCTTGAGCGTTTACTAGTTCACTCATATCTACTCTTTGTGAGAGTTTTATTCTTGAGTGTTTAAGTGTTTTCATACACTTTAAGGGAGGTTGTTCCCTTGTTGTAAACTCGAAGGAAGTTCCTTGTTCCTTCGTGAGAAGTCTTGGAGTGCGGCATCTCCGAGCAAAGGCGTTGAGGCTCGTGTTCTCAAGTTGTATCAGTTTGTTAAGCACCCTTAAGCTTAACGGAGTTAGTGTAGCTCGAGAGAGTCTCTTGGGAGGCTGGATTAGCCACACGTTGTGGTGAACCAGGATAAAATTTGGTGTTCTCCTTCCTTACGCTCTTTACTTTAACGCTCTTGTTTTAATTTCCTGCGATTTTGTTTTAAACGCTATTCACCCCCCCCCCCTCTAGCGTTGGGCCTTTATTCTAACAATTACCCATCTTAATGTTTTAAGTATTTGTTAACACGGATTGTTGATTCTATTTTCATTTAGATGTTGTATTTAGAAATAAATAAATTTTGAATGTTTATTACTCCCTCCGTCCCACTGTCTTTGTCCACTTACCTTTTGGCACACCATCCAATGCACTTCTTTAATCCATTTTATCTTGTAATTTGTATATTAAAAAGTTATAGAAATTATATATTAATAATCTATATGTTAAGACAAATCAAACAAGATCACACATGACTATATTTAGGCTTACACATTGAGAGAATTTGATGAGTCAAAGTGCTTAGATGAATAGTTCCAAAAGTCAAAAGTGGACAAAGACAATGGGATGGAGGTAGTATTTTTCATTAAGGGCTCAATCATAAACATCCTTCTATTCTTAAAAGCAGGGGAAAAATGCACCAGCGTTTTCCCGCCCAAATGCAAAGCAATCTTAACCACTGATTCTTAGAAAAAATGAGATCTACAGATTATATATAATCCAGTGTTTTAAGGTCGAATAAGAAAAGTTATTTCTCTTGGTACCATTAATAAAGAAAAAGGTAAAGAATCAACAAACATGGAAATATCGGACCAAAATAAATATGTAATCCACCGTTGTATACAAAATTTAAAAGGAAAGAAGAAATTGTATTTTTTATTGGAATCCTTCTATTCTTAAATGCAGGGGAAAAGTGCACCAGCGTTTTCCCGCCCAAATGCAAAGCAATCTTAACTGCTGATTCTTAGAAAAATAAGATCTACGGATGATATATAATCCAGTGTTTTAAGGTTGAATAATGAAAGTTATTTCTCTTGGTACCATTAATAAAGAAAAGGTAAAGAATCAACAAACATGGAAATATCGGACCGAAATAAATATGTAATCCACCGTTGTATACAAAATTAAAAAGGAAAGAAGAAATTGTATTTTTTATTGAAACATTTTTAAAAAGTAAAGAATTAACAAACAAGGAAAGAAGAAACCCTTTTTTCATGAGAACGTTTTAAAAAAAGTAACAAATTAATAATCAATGATATATATATGACCGATGCTATTGTTATTATTATTTTTTTAATTATTATTATAATTATAATTTATATTATTATTATTATATTTAAAATCATGATTAAGTACGGACATGATAAAGATTTAAAACCGTGTTTTTTATGAGAAAAGATTTTAAAAAGTAAAGAACTAACAAAACACAAAATATCAGACCGATGATATTATTAGTATTATTATTCTTCTTTAAAAAAGTAAAGGAAGTTATTTTAAAACAAGATTGTGTCTTTAATGTAAACAAAATAAAAAAGGAAAGAAGAAACTGTTTTTTATGGGAACAGATTAAAAAGTAAAGAATTAATAAAGAATATAAGACCGATGTTTTTTTGTTATTATTATTGTTATTATTATTATTATTATTATTTAAAATCGTGATTATTTTAGTAAATGAAATATATTTAAAACCATAGGTGGCCAGCTGTTTTGAGATTGAATTTCCATCTCCCAGGGCAGAAATTTGTCACCTTTAAAGATAAACAAAAAGTTAAAGATGTTGTCCATCAAAATTCTGACAAACCTTCAATGTTTGAAGCTTGGATGATTGCCAATACGCAGTACACTGCACGACATAATTTGACGTATGCTGAATTCCCTGGATATTTTGTGTATAACAGCAAGGAGCGGAAATGGTTCCCGAGGCAACAAAGACCATCAATAGGCCACTTTCAATATGTGCCAACTAGAAGTGGAGAGTTATATTATTTGAGAATACTTTTAACAATTCAACGAGGATGTAAAATCTATCAGAGCTTGAGGACGGTTAACAATGTTATACATAACTCTTTCCAAGAAGCATGCGAAGCATTGGGGTTATTAGCCGATGATAAAGAATTCATTGAGGGGATAAAAGAGGCTGTTGAGCTAGGATCTAGAAGTCAATTAAAAAAGTTGTTTGTCACATTGTTAGTGACAAATACCATGAGCCATCCTCAAGTTGTTTGGGAAAAAAACATGGGAGCTCTTAGTTAATGGAATTTTATTTGATCGAAGAAGAATATTGCGTAATCAAGGTATTTTTATAATAACTTATTTTTTATTATTTATATAAACATTAATATGAAATGCATGGTATGTATACAAAACTCTATCATTCACATTTTTGTCGAAATAATTTAGTCTAATATTAACTTCTTTTTTCAGAACTTCTTATCTCTCAAGAAGATCTAAAGAATTTGTGTTTGATTGAGATTGAGAAGTTACTTTATTCAAACGGACGGTCCTTAAAAGAGTTTGGTGGTATGCCATTTCCATATGACAACCCACTCAATAGATTTCAAAATAACTTCTTAGTCGAGGAGTTCAACTATGATAGAGAAAAATTGTCATCTGAGCATAGACAATATTTATCTACCATGAATGAAGACTAAAAGAAGATATACGACGATATAATGGAGGTCGTGACAGCTGAAAAAGGAGGTTTCTTTTTTGTGTTTGGTTACGGGGAAGAAAGACCTTCCTCTGGAAATCATTATCCGCTTCTCTTAGATCAAAAGGAAAGGTTGTTCTGAATGTTGCATCTAGTGGGATTGAATCATTGTTTTTTTGAACAAATGCACAATTTTGTTACTACTTCAAACGATTCAGTTACAACCAGGAAGCAAATACACATTAACTCAACACCATTTTTTTCAATCTAAAATTAATAAAACTCTTCATATGGAATTTAATCCAGGCTATATTATCCTCAACCAAGACCACTCTCTCTTGTTTGATCTTTAAATTGCGAGCCCTCCAAACTATATAGCAGGTTGCTGCGAAGCCAGCTATTACAGTCTGTCTTCTATTTCTCCCTTTAATGCGTTTGAGTTCTTCCTGCATGTCTATATCATTTTTGGCCTTCCACTGGTAACATATCCACTTCCCAATTTCCTCCTTGATGACCAAGGTGTAAGGACAAGAATAGAATAGATGTTCTTTGTCATCCTCCCCATTATCACACAACACACAACTAGTATCCACCTCCATAAATCTCCTTAGCCTTACTTTTGTGTTAATTCTATTCCTCCATCCCAGCCATTGGAGGAATTGATGCTTGGGTATAGTCAGCTTATTCCAGACAATGTGATATGCAGGGTAATCAGTAGGTTCACCCATGAGCCATTCATACCCCACATTAGTATTATATTCCCCCTTCAACTCCATATCTGCAAACATTCTTCTGTTGTGCAGTATTTTTCTCAAATAGTAGCACATTCAAGCTTTTGGTTGGATGTCCCATATATTATCTCTCTTGAGGTATTTGCTATGAATCCACTTAACCCACAACACATCTTTTTTGTTTTCTATGTCTCAAAGGAGGCTGTGTTTGCATGCATAATTCCAGAAAATCAGATTCTTAATGCCCAAACCCCCATCCTTTTTAGGTCTACAAACATCCTCCCAACCCACTTCATGCACTTTTTTGTACTCAGCCTTAGCACCCCATAGGAAATTTCTACAAATACATTAGATTTAATGCATAACCTTACCAGGAATGATAAATAGTCTGCACCAAAAGGTTATGATGCTAAACAACATAGAATTGATCAACTTGCATCTCCTTGCATATGAAAGGTTTTTAGTTTCCCAAACTGTGATTTTATTTGTAAGTTTATGAACCAAGGCTTCACATTCCCTGTTTGATATTCTACTGGCAGTGATGGGCCCCCCTAGGTATTAAAGCATTGTTATTATTGCCTGGTGGAAGGACTGCACACTCTAGATTCTCAATCGCATTGGCGCTAACTGAGTGCTCAACATGTGCCATCAAACTACGGAGCCCGAAAGCTGAATTGATCCAACAAGCAAGTCTGGTCATATGGGATGAAGCATGCATGATGAATAGATTTGCTTTTGAGGCTTTGGATCACACAATGAGAGATATCATGGGGTTCTCTAATGCTAACTACAGAAATGAACCATTTGGAGGGAAAATAGTTATACTTGGAGGTGACTTTCGACAGATCCTTCCAGTTTTACCCAGAGCTTCGAGAGAGAGCAAATTCTAGGTGTTATGGTCAATTCCTCACATTTGTGGTTGTACTGTAAAGTTTATACATTGACCAGAAATATGAGACTGCATTCATCCACGTTTTCTTACACAGAGAGGGACACACAAACTTTTTCTGATTGGATAATAAAAATGGGTGATGGAAAGCTAGGTCAGGTGATGTATGGAGTTGGTGATATTGAGATTCCGCAAGAATTCTTAATTCTTGATACAAGTTCTCCTATGAAGAGTATAGTTGACTTCACTTATCCGAATATATTAGAGAATATGAAAAATTATTCTCTTTTTGAGGATAGAGCACTATTGGCACCAACTCTCGAAGTAGTTGAAATGATAAATGAATTTGTCATGTCCCTCATTCCTGGTGATGAAA